AATGTGTTTTGTTCGTTTTATTGCTCGTGATCCTTGTTCTCGGTCACATCATTATTATCAATGTTTAAGTCCATCATCTCCGGTACAGCAAGGTGATTGAACATGTTGTTGTTCTCATGTTTGCTACTGTTAATGTCCGAATGCTTTTTTTTCCTTCATCTTGTTTAGTTGTTGTTTCACCTGGTTAGTCTCCTCATTGTTTTTCCTTTTTCCTTTCTTCCTTTCCATATGTTTCCAGCCCTCTTCTATTTCACTAGTTAAGGCCTCTAGATCTTTTTTGCAGTTCATATCCATATGCATCTCGTTTTGCTGAAGCAAACTCTGATTATCAGAAAAAGTTTCAGCAGTCATACCTGGATTTTGCGTGGTCTCTTCGATTTTATGCTTGTCATTGTTGTTCTCTTTTTGGGATTCAACTTCTTTAATATTTGCTCTGTTGAAGTTTTGTTTTTAACAGAAGTACAAGATGTAACAATGACTGAATACTATCATGGTTAGTAGCTCCAAAGATGTCATTTTAAAAAATAAAAGCTAAGTCATCTGAGATGTTGCTGAGGTCTGTCACTAACAACAACTTGTTTTCCTTTGTCTTGGTGTCTTGGTGTTTGCAGTAGAGTGTCTTGGTGTTGTTGGAGTTGAGTTTCCTCTTTTTCCATCATCCTATATTGCGATTTACAGATGTCTTATGAACTGCAATGGTATCTACTTCTTAGATGTAAAGTGGGACACTCTTTTAGGACTCGAGTACTTGCACTGAATTATCTTAGGATCAAGCTGTGAGATTAGTCCTAGTAGAAGTGTCTGCTGAAATAAAATGTGAAATAACTCTACATTTTCCTATGTAGTAAGATAAAGATTTCTAGTTATGAGTATTTAATCATTTGGAGGTCAATCATCAGTAATTTCAGCTCATCTGGAAAGAAAATAACATAACAATTACATTTAATCTTAGACTTGGTAGCAACTCATAAACTGAGTCTAAGATGTGTGAGGCACTCCACACTTTTTCCTTTAGGAAGATGGAGGGAAAAAAAGCAAAAAAGTACATGTCTCTTTTTTGGGTTATAGTAACTTAATACTTTTATTAGACAAGACCCTTCACTCCAACATAACTTCTATAACTCTTGTAATCTGATTTGTTGTACATGGTTTGTTTTGATTGTTAATTTCTTTTTAAATGTGTAGGGAAATGGAGGTGATCAAATTTGAAGGGTCGCCACAAGTCAATTTGATCTCATTGAAGTGGAAGTGGATAATGAAGAGTTTTTGAACTATTGTTAAAACTTGAATACATGATATTTGATTTTGTGAAATATATTCATTGCTAGAATATATTGAACTATTATAAGAGTACTTTTTGAACTATTGTGTACACATATTTAGAATATTGCTTTATAAGTATGTGTGTGTACACAAGACATACTATCTTTTGAAGTTTATCGCAAATCTATATATTTGAATTACTTATTAGCTAATTTAATGTTTGAGATTATTTATTGCAAAATAATATTGGTGTTTTTTAATTAGAAATTGTGGCATATAAATATTTTATAGCCAAAATAATATTACCACACTTAAAAGTGCAGCCAAATGACTGTAAATTGTGGTATGCACATGAGCAAGGACTACACTTCAAAGTATTGTCATAAATAAGATATAAAAGGCAACACTTTAAAATCGTGGGCAATAAGGAAGCAAAGGCCACGCTTGAAAGTGTAGCTGTATGAGATAGAAATGTTGCTATTTATGAGGTACTGCAAAGCGTGGCCTTTTTGCCTTTTAGGCTACGCTTTTAAGCGTGGCTGATAAAGCAACACTTGAAAAGTGTCGCCTAAACTCTAAGGTTATGCTTCTTTAAGCCACCCCTGGAAAAGCGTGGCTTAAAGTCAAAAAGTGTGGCCATAAAAGGCCACACTTTTCTAGGGTGGTTGTAGGCATAAAATATTGTAGTCGTTTAACAGTACTTTTCATCATATGTCATAAAAAATCAATGACATTTTTCAACATATAACATAATATATTTGATATTTGTATAAAAATGTCACTGTTTTAGCGACATTTTCACCATATGTCGATCGAATCAATGACATTTTGCAATACATGTCATAATATATTCGACAATTGTATAAAATGTCGCTATTTTAGCAACAATTTTGCTAAAATTCGCTAAAATCAATGACATTTTACAACAAATGTCACTATTTTAGTGACATTTGTCAGTAAATGTCATAATATATTCGACATTTATATTAAATGTCACTCTATAAGCGATATTTTTACTAAATGTCACTAAAACCAATGACATTTTGTAATAAATGTCATATTATATTCGACATTTGTAGCAAATGTCATCATTTAAATGACATTTTCGCTAAATGTCGCTAAAAACAACGACATTTTGCAATAAATGTCATTATCATAGTGACATTTAGGACCAAATATCATTATTTTTATGATATTTGATACCAAATGTCATTATTTTTACGACATTTGGCATCAAATGTCATTGTTTTATGACATTTTGTTCCTAAATATCGTAAAATTCTTTATTTTCCAACATTTATTTCAAATGTCACTAAATTAATGTCGTATGTACATTTTCTTGTAGTGGTTCTAATGCGATGTAACGACTTATATGATGATTATACTTGTATCTTATGCCTCTTATACTAATGTTCCGATTATCGACAGCTGAATAAGGCGACTATAAAGAATAAGTATCCCCTTCCGAGGATCGATGACTTGTTTGATCAGTTACAAGGTGCTAAGTGTTTCTCAAAGATTGATTTAAGATCAGGTTACCACCAGATACGAGTTCGGGAGAAAGACATTCCAAAGACAGCTTTTAGAACCAGATATGGACACTTTGAGTTCTTAGTAATGTCTTTTGGATTAACTAAAGCCCAGCAGTGTCCATGGACCTGATGAATAGTATATTCTGGTCGTATCTAGACTTGTTTGTGATTGTATTTATCGATGATATTTTGGTGTATTCACGTTCAAAAGTTAAGAATGCAAATCATCTGCGAGCAGTCCTTCAGGTTCTTCGAGATTGAGAACTTTATGCAAAGTTTTATAAGTGTGAGTTCTGGTTGAACTCTGTAGCTTTCTTAGGCCATATTGTATCAGATGCAGGCATTGCGGCTGATACACAACTGAGGTTCGTAATTTCTTAGGGTTAGCTGGGTACTACAGAAGGTTTGTAGAGGGGATTTCATCACTTTCAGCACCATTAACGAAGCTAACTCAAAAAGAAGCTAAGTTCCAGTGGACTGAGGTTTCAAAGAAAAGTTTGCCGGAGCTAAAGGACAGGTTGACATCAGCACCAATTCTAGCATTGCCAGAGGGTTCAGAAGGCTATGCGGTGTACTATGATGCTTGTGGTGTTGGGTTAGGATGTGTTCTAATGCAACATGGTAAGGTTATCGCATTTGCTTCAAGGCAGTTGAGGAAGCATGAGAAGAACTATCCGACCCACGATTTAGAGTTGGCTGCAGTTGTGTAGGCATTAAAGATCTGGAGACACTATTTGTATGGCGTTCATGTTGACATCTTCACAGATCATATAAGCCTTCAATATATCTTAAGACAAAAGGAGTTAAATTTGCGACGGCGTCGATGGCTTGAGTTACTCAAAGACTACGACGTGGTTATTTTATATCATCCAGGAGAGGCGAATATGGTAGACGATGCCCTCAGTCGAAGATCTATGGGTAGTTTATACTATTTAAGTGTTGAGAAACGTGAACTAGGATGAGAGCTTCATCAGTTAGCTAGCTTGGGAGTCAGATTGTTAGAAGCAGACGATAGTGGGATCATAATTCAGGACACAACTGTATCATCTCTAGTTGTGGAGGTAAAAGCACAACAACATGAGGATCCTGGCTTAGGGCAGCTTAGAGTCAAGTCTCAGGATCAACAGTCTGTAGCATTTGATATAGCCGGAGATGAAGTCCTCAGATATAATGGTCGATGGTGTGTTTCGAATGTTGTAGGGCTTCGACATTAGATTATGGAAGAGGCACATCATTCCCGTTATTCTATTCACCCTGGTTCGACGAAGATGTACCATGATATTAAGGAGATCTATTGGTGGCATGGGATTAAGAAGGACGTTGCTGAGTTTGTGGCACATTGTCCTAACTGCCAACAGGTGAAGGTTGAGCACCAAAAGCCCGCTGGGATAGTCCAAGAGATAGCCATTCCTTTGTGGAAGTGGGAAGCAATTAATATGGATTTTGTTAGAGGGTTACCTCGATCACGTCGTAAATTTAATTCTATTTGGGTAATTATTAACAGACTAACAAAATCAGCCCATTTCTTACCAGTCAAGACTACTTTCACAGCTGAAGATAACGCAGGGTTTTACATCCGAGAGATTGTTAGGTTACACGGCATCCCAGTATCTATTATCTTAGATCGAGGAGCACAATTTACCGCTAACTTCTGGAAGTATTTCCAGAAAGGATTAGGGATGCAAGTTAATCTAATAATCGCATTTCTCCCTCAGACAGATGGCCAAGTTGAACGCACTATTTTAACACTTAAGGACATGCTTCGAGCATGCATGTTGGACTTTAATGGAAGTTGTGATGACCACTTACCTCTTATTGAGTTTGCATACAATGATATTTATTATTCTAGCATCAGGATGGCACCTTATGAGGCTTTGTATGGGCGAAAATGTACATCCCCCATTGGATGGTTCGAGGTTGGTGAATCAGGGTTGATTGGACCTGACCTAGTACATCAAACAGTGGAATAGGTTAAGCTCATTTTGGAGAGGTTACTAACAGCCCAAAGCCGACAAAAGTCATACTCAGATGTGCGACGAAGGGATTTAGAGTTTTGTGTCGATGACTGGGTATTCCTAAAAGTCTCTCCTATCAAAGGTGTTATAAGATTTGGAAAGAAAGGAAAGCTTAGTCCAAGATTCATTGGACCATACCGGATCCTTCGGAGGGTAGGACAAGTGGCTTATGAGTTAGAATTTCCTTCTGGGCTAGAATCTGTTCATCCAGTTTTCCATGTATCAATCATACGAAAGTGCGTAGGAGACCCTTATCGGGTTGTCCCAATTGAGGATGTTCAGATTACAGAGAATTTGTCCTACGAGGAAACTCCAGTTGCCATTTTAGATCGACAGGTCCGTAAATTGAGGACCAAAGAGGTGGCTTCGGTTAAAGTATTGTGGAAAAACAAGAATAGAGAAGACGTGACCTGGGAAGCTGAGGATGGCATGAGGTCCAAATATCGTCACTTGTTTCATACCCTAGGGTGATGGCATATAAGTTTATATCAGGCCAGTGAGGTAAGATACCTATTCGATTTTTTTGTTGCTTATTATTATTGTTGTTTTCGTGGTATATTTGCTCGCACTGCTAATGTGGAGCTATAGTGCTTAGCTATTTATGTCATCGTGTGAGACGCTTAGGTTAGAAATTTTGCGTTCCAGGATCCTGGATATTGACATTTACAAAGGATACTCTAATTAAGTTTTGGCAACTCCTAAGGACTTTACAGCGTGACTCAAATCTTTCATTCGAGGACGAATGTTTCTAAGGGGGGAAGATGTAACACCCGCCTTTTTGAAACATATAAAATTACTCGTATCTTCACGGAAAGACTAGGAGGGTGGATAATAAATTAAGAATGATATGGTATGTCATATTTTAAGTGTTCAAGGGTTGTATCTCAAGTTTTGAAGTTAGGTAAGTGGCAAAATGAAAGTTGGCAAAACTTACCGTAAGTTCCTTTTTAAAGATTTCTCTAAAATTTGGGTCAAATGCATCGAAGGTTTTCTCCCAATATATAAATATTTATGGGTCCTACGACCTATGAAATCGAAGGTCTACGAGTCTAGTTTCCAACGCATCAAACTGTTTGTTCATATGACTTCAAATTAGAGAGATATTCATATTTTTGTGGGACTGCGCAAGCAGGCACGTGAGGTGGGGTCCTAGGTCGGTGGAACTTTATATACATCTTCTTCTTCGACCTTTTCTTCATTTTTTAGCTAAGAACTAGAAAAAATAGATAAACCCATTTCTAGGTTCAACTAAAGTATAGATTTTCTCAACTTAAGTCCTTGACAAAAGTTGTTCTACACGTTGGGCTCATCATCGTGGTATAATTTGTTTTATTGATTACGTAGCATTTCACACTTTAGTGTTGGGACAGCAAGGGTTTAGACATATTTGAAGGTTTTGAAGCATTTTAAGAACTTAAGATCTAGGTAAGACCCTTCTTTCATTGACTCTAGCTTTTATATGCAGCAAATAGCAATTAGCGACGGAAATACATATATTTTATCGGATTGTCGTGGTATCTTCTATTTTAGTGTGTTGATTATGGTCCTGCATTGTTGTAGTATCGAAGGGGTTATGAGTAAAAGTCGT